TGCAGTAAATGGCTATCTCCAGATACTCTGGGGAAGCTGTGATCTCCTTTTCTCTTACTGGAGCTAGATTGCAGATCACACGAGAGGAACAGATAAGCAGGCCACAGAGTTAGGACACTGGACTGATGCATCCTGGCAGAACTACAGGAATCAAAAGGCGACGACCGCTCCCAAGGCAAGATAACTCAGTGCTGCAGGAGGGCATGGGCTCCGGGCCAGCCGTGCACCTCTTCCAAACGAAGATGAATAGCCAAGGGCTCCTCACTTTACCACCTGGGCCCAGGTGGTCACTATCTCTATCCTCAACTGGCCTCTGCAATCTTGCGATCGTGGTGGATTGGCTGCCACCAAGTTACAAGGGGCAGGTTACGAGGTCACGTTCTGTTAGACATTTGGGCAGAGTAAGGCAGCCAACCATAACCTCAATAAAAGGATAGTCGTCTTCCTTGACGGTCTCTGAGGCAAACCATTTAAAAATTCTTAAATATGAACGATGCCCAGTTTTATTTCTAAAGGAATGGTGCCTCGGTCTTATTTGGGTAAAAGCTCTTCCAAAGGAAGATGCGACAAAGTCATTGACCCAGATGAACACAGTTCCATAGGACATGAGATAAATATTCACCTAGTAGGCCGGACTGGAAAAGGTTCAAATTTCTTAATATAGTCCAGTAGGTTATTCAACTAAACAAACAAATGCATTTAATATAAAGACTGAATTGCTTATAATATAGAATCATTACGTCCATACGATAAAAAGCTTGTAACATTCCTTCATCAATAACCATTTAAATTTTTGTGTATCTTGTTATACTGATGTCACTGCAACTTTTCTCTTCAAGGAAAAATAGAGATAATATCGCATGTGAGGATACATATAATTACTTAAGTTAGCACATTCTTATACCAACTTCCAATAATGTCTGCTTCCTCCTTAGTGCTTAAGTCAATCGACAAGCAGTGTATTTCCAAGTAGTATTTTTCTCAAACTGCATTCTTAGTTAATGTGCTTGTACTGTCAGGCAAATTGGTTAAGAAGTGCCAATCAGGCACCTGCAGAATGCAGTACTGCAAGTAAAAGCAAGCTCAATACAAGAGGCATCTCATTGTCTCAGAGCAAATATTCACAGAGCAGCTTCACAACAAAAGGAAAAACGAATGCAATGGCATTATTTAAAGCTTACACATTTGAAACAGAAAACTATTTGCAAGACAGTCAAAACTCTTAGCAGCACAGCACAAAACGAAATGCTCAATTTATTTTTACTAGATATAAACTAAGCATGCAGGTAGGCACCGCACTTTAAAAATAAGGAATTAATAACTGGAGTGGCACATTATGAGCTAGCAAACCATAGTCTATGCAGTTTCACCAAGGAAATGACGAAGAGACAGATGCATTAAAGGAGATAGTAATCATCAAGAAAGCTTGACTAGGATAGAGATATCGGTTAAAGATTCAGACAGCAGCAATGTTTAGGCAACAGGGCTTCAGTGATGTTGATTTCTCTGTAGGGTAGAAATAACATCAAGCCCAAGATGGCAAGAGCATGCTTTGCAGTAAAAGCCAACTGAGAGTCCGTTCCATTCCATCATGCAGCAAGCCACCGATCCCCAAGGTAGGTAACACACTGCTTCTGTACACCCTACACACGGGCGTGCTTCTCCCCGGGCACCTCAGCATACACCCATCTATTTACATCTTGTTAAAAATAGAAAGCAGAACAAAAGTAATAAAAGTACTTATGGGATTTTAGCAAAATGGAATTTGACATGAGAAAAAATTACTTTGGATTTTACAAAGTAATTTCAACTTCGTCCTTAAAAGAAAGGGGGATGGGTACATCTATACATTGACCCAATGACTCACTAAAAATATAAGATCCCTTTGGGTTTGAAGGGTGAAATTTCACGTGATCATAAATGTGAGGGTGGGATCTCACTGTGAGTGAATTTCCAAGACAACTTTCTTATCCCTGGGGGATAATTTTTAAGCATTTAAAAAACTCTTTATGCAAGGGGAAAAGGGGCCATTTCTGAGAACAGAAGCTGTGTTAATTTTATAGCAATCAACCAAGAAGAGGGAAAAAACCATGGAGAGAAAGAGCAGTATATACCTGGCAGAACTGTCAACCATGCAGAGTGAAAGGATATCCCAATAGAATTACCCGCCAAGCACGTATATTCCCCAGCATCCTCAAAAGTTACATTCCGAATATAGAGAACCTCAATTTCTTTGTCCGTGGTATTAACACCGGCGGCCTAGAAAACAAGGAAAGCAAGAGAAAAGGCTAGACGACACAGGAATGATTGTGGAGGGGGCCATGGAACCATGAGGCGTCGCACCGGGGGCTCCGGAGGGTACCGGCCACCGGAAGATTCCGATTGCAGCCCATCCACAAAGCCCACAACCAAGAGAGACTGAGCGACACGGAGCAGCTCACCTCCACAGGCCCGTCACCACACTGGCTTCACCACCTAGACATACATGCATGCGATCAAAGGCATGGAAAAATCAACCCACAGAGATCCATTCTCTTGGCCTTTGCTTTGCTTTGCTTTGCTTTGGATATAGGGGTGATTTTCCAAAACTATGGCACCAAAAAGCCCAAGTTGGGTTCTGGTCCTGTTGGCTGCAGACTCCCACCTCAAAAAAAGGATGGTTCTGTCTAAACTGTCGTGTCGTAAGACAGCATACCACAGATAAGCCCAAGTGGACACCTGGCACCTCCTTCCAGGCCTGTGGGAACCACCAGGGTGAAGGGAGTTTGTGCTGGTTAGCAGGCTCTGGTTATTTTTACTCCTGCGCAACCATCTTGACATACGTTGCATTGAAAGAAAATGGAAGAAGACATGATCCTGGTAGCAAAGAAACCGGACTCTTTTTTCCTTTTCTTAATACAAACATTTGAACGTGAGTCATGACAAATCGAGAAAGGCAACCTGCTGTCTTCAACAGCAGCCGGCAGTACATTTACTCACTCAGATGGAATATCCTTGAATTGGGAAAACAAAGTCAAGGACAGTATTCCTTAAGCATCAGTTACGCAACCAAGAAAATGATGCTCTGTTGAATCAGTTATATCATGCCAATATTTCTTTCAAAATGTGGGGCAGGGGAGGTATGAATTCTGCTGCTATGCAAATGCCACAAATTCAACAGGCATGCCGGTGTGCGTTTACAATGGTGCTGATGTGCAGTAATGATGGTAGATGTGCAGCCTGAACGAGATAAACCAGAAGGAACAACTTAAAAACTGGGTGGGGGTGGAAGGTAACCTTTAGAAGAAGTTAGAGCAAGCACTTTGAATATTGTGGGCATTTTTCCATGGCTGCTGGTATCACACCAGCTGCATCACCAAAGAAAGATTATGATGAATATACCAAGACCACAGAGTTATCCTATAAGCTGCCTGCAGTCTCCCAAAGCACCAAGTCTTTTCAGCTTCTATATCCAGCCTTCTTTAAAACAAAAACAAAAACAAAAACAAAAAAAAAAACGTTGTTACCTTGCTGTTTTGGCAGGACAGTGAGCCAGGCAGACTGGTTGGCCTGCCCTATATAATTGGAGACCTTACAAATATACTCCCCAGCATCCGCCTCAGTCACATTGAACAGAGCCAGCACTTCTGCATTGGAACTATTTATCCCCGAGTGCTGGAACAGACATAGGAGAACAATATAATGGCCAACCAGGAAGGACTTCACACTACCTAGGGTCCCACCACCAACACACCACAGAAAAACAACCTCCATCTCATCTAAACAGCAACATCAAAGGGCTGTGGGTTTAGAAGGAAGAAAACAAGTCAACCAGTGGACAGCAGAAGTGACCCAGTGGAGAGGGGAGGAAGGGTGTGATCAATCCCCTTGCAGAACGGGTCCGCAGTTCCCCAGGCTGGTCATCTCTTTCCAGGTTTTTGGATACTTGGTGTTCTCAGCTGGAGAGAACACTTCATTGGTTTAATGTCCTGAGTTGAGCTTCCTATGGTCCTACTGGAAGACTGTTCTTTTTTTTGGGGGGGGGGGGGTACGCGGGGCTCTCACTGCCGTGGCCTCTCCCATTGCGGAGCACAGGCTCTGGACGCGCAGGCTCAGCGGCCGGGGCTCACGGGCCCAGCCACTCCGCGGCATGTGCGATCTTCCCAGACCGGGGCACAACCCCGTGTCCCCTGCATCGGCAGGCGGACTCTCAACCACTGTGCCACCAGGGAAGCCCTGGAAGACTGTTCTTTTAGAGGCCATTCTCTATGAGCAGCTCAACGTGGGAGACGTGGCAGGCAGTGCACTCAGAAGCATTTGTACAGACTTAACTGCTGCTTGCTATCACCATCTTGAAGAGCAAGACAGATCTAAAAAATAAAGAGGCTGGTGCTATTAAAACAAGGTCTTGTAAGGAACCAAATAAGAACTACAAGGGGAAAGAAAGTTTCCTTGTTCAACATTACGTGAGTGCAGGAATACTTTCTCAAGCTTATCACTAAACCACGTGTGAATGAATTTCCAAGGTTAAGGGGTCTCTCTTAAAAGGAAAGTCTAAATTGTTTCTAAAAGGTGGCTACTAAAATGTGATCCTAACGTCATATTAAGGGATATTAAGAGAAGACAACGTCAGTGTAACAATAAACGTTGTACCAACGCCTCGAGTTTACAAAGCTCCTTCTGGCCACTTCATCCCATTAACTCCGCGTAACGCCCTGTAGGGGAGATATTACCACTTCTATAGATGTGCAGCTAAGCCTAAATGTCCCATCTAAGACCTCAGGGCCGATAAAGAGCTCCACTATTCTGACTCCAGCTTTGGCAGTCCTCCCGCTACCCCCTGGCTCCCTTCTGAGGCGTTATCAGCAAGCCTAACGATCTGCTAATTCTTAAACACACCCTGTGCTGAACGCGTAAGAGAGTCGTCTTCTCTCAAATCCAACGGGAAGCCAAAGAACCTGTGGCCAAACCCATCAGGAAGACCCCGGCCGTGGGCGCCTTTGGATTCAGAACGTGCTCACCTTCAGAACCTTGAGGTAGGGCAGCCCGTCGGGCCCGTATTTACTGCCATTCTTCTCCACGTGTTTGATCCACTGGATGTGGGGCTGGGCGTCGCTGTACACTTTGCAGACAAACTCCACGTCGCCTCCGACCACAGCAGAGGCGTTTGCCGGTAGTCCGGCCTGGAGGATGGGCCGGTGTGGCGATCGCTCTGGGGGAGAGAGGGGTGGAAGGGGGAGCAGGGCCAGGACGGGGGGGGGGGCGGGGAGAGATGAACAAATAAGTTGTGTTGTCCAGAAGGCTGACCGTGAACTCAAGCCAAAAAGGCCTCGAGCCTGCTGGCTGACTCCTTTGAAATAACACCACAGCCTGACACAGAACAAAAACGACTTCAAAGGAGACGGCTGGAGCGCGACCCTTGTGAAAGGAGTACTTAGTTAGAAAACTGAGAGAAGAACTTACTACGTCATGAGTCACTGGACGTCCGTGGCCACCTGACGAACAAGGGATAAGATTTTATTCCGACAATCTAAAAGACAAATGGCGGGGAAAGAGAGCCTCTTCTCTCATCCCACTGGGGACACCATCAGAAGGTCACCTTGGTCGTCAGCTTAACAAATCCCAGGCAAGCGACAAGACTAACGTTAAGGTCGCCCTGAATTCCAAAATGGTGCCTATAGGCAGCGTCTCCCCGTGCATTTCTAAGATGCTCTGAGAAGACTCCCATCCATTGTTTCAAAAAGAAAATGAACTAAAAAACTAAGGCCCAAAGTTATGAACAAATGGTTTCATCTCTTTGCTGTGGCATTCACTCCATTCGGTCATTCTTTGTCCCATGCCCCCATTCACCTCCTCCATAAGTAGTAAGTGTCACTGTGCATCCCATGCTAGATGCACAGACAGACATTCCTCAGCTTATTCAGATGTGGCACCTAAAGAACAAAAAGCGACACCGGTTCCCAAACCCTGGCCATGTCTCAGGCTGTCTTAAAGGAGGCCCCATAGAGAAGAAGCCAGCAATTACTTTCCACGCTCCCTCATCTGCCTCAGTCTCTAGGGAAACTCTCCGGTTCAGAGGCGGTCTCTGCAGAAACCCTGCAGAGGCACCCACACCAAGGTGCAGGAGCAAACACACACCAGGCTCCTCAAGAATCAAGTAACAGACCAGCCTGCTGTGTGATCCTGTCCACAGAGGCACCATAATCACAACTGGACTGGAACCTTCCTACACAGCAGCTCAGTCAAGAGTCACATACCCAATCATCCGTCCATTCACAAATATCACTCCATCCCCACCTACCTGTACGCACGGGCCACCGCCCATTTCCCTCTCCGCACTGTGGGTACCACTGCCTTCACCCTCCAGCCTAAAACACCACCATGGAAAATGAGGACAGGCCAACAGGCCCAACACAGCAAGGATGTCTCCATGCTGCGCCTAAGTATCCCCGCGCACTGGGCGGGAGACAGCCAATCAGCACGATGGCTACCTAAGCCTTTCTATATCTGGGCTTTCAGATTAAAATGTCATTTAGTGGAATGTGTTGGACAAGAGCCAGACCATGTGCAAATCGATTTTACTGCAATAAGCCTGTTGCTGGTTGTAAAAACTTAAAAAAAAAAAAAAAAAAAAGGAAGGAAGGGAGGGAGGGAGGGAGGGAAAATCGAAAAAAGAAAAAGTGCTGGCAATTACTCTGAGCACATTTCATTCCAGAATCTCCCATCACTTCACAGACACCTATATTTTTACATTAAAAAGATAAAGATTTCAGATCCCCCAAAGAAGTCATTCATTTTTCACAGTATCACCCGCACAGGCTAAGCAAAGAGCCCAGAAGTCGAGGCTCCTAGTTTTTAGGGGCAGAAAATGTCAAAGCCGGGATGCTTTCAAGCATCACTAGAAACACTCACTGCTTGGCTGAGACACCATCCTAGCGATGGGCCACTGTGAGTCTCCTGGTCCAGCCTGGCGGCCAGCTGGATGCTACAGGGACCTGCTAGCAGCTGGCAGGGACAGAGCTCTGGTTCAACCCCGGCTCGCCCCATCCACGTGAGAAGAACAGAATTAAGTCCACACACACTCTCCCCACCAGGCCTCCTCCCAAGAGATTTAAGCCCAAGGAGCACTGCCCTCCGGGCTGGACACGGCCAGCCAAGTTCACAAAATAGGCACCTCTGCACCTATCAAATATTGAGGTAGTTTACGCCTTTCCACAGAGAAGTGAATGTCAGGTATCGGTTCATTCTCCGGCTCAGTTTTCCAGTTTTGCGTGCATGTGTTTGCATGTTCAGAGATAAACATTTACAGTGGACCTAAATATTTATTCTCAGAAACAAAGGTACTATAAAATCTTAAATGTCATAAGCCAGATCAACTGAATTTCAAACCAAGTCCTCTTTCTTAAACATGCTTGTTTCTCATAAATCGTTTCACAAGCAAACACTGTGCATGTAATACCAAATAACGATGCCCGTGAACAATGAGGTCTTTCATACGCGGCACGACAGCTCCAGGCTGCGCCAGCCTTCAGCGGAGAACGTCGTCACTGGGGCAACACGGGAAAGGCCCACGACGGGGCTGCAGTCTTGTTTTACTTGTGGTCAGCGTGCTGCTGCGCTCTGGTTATTAAGTTATTCCATTGCTATCCGGACTATGTTCACCAAAAAAAAAAAAAAAAAAAAAAAAAACCCACCACCTTTGCAATGGTTTCATGTTATTGCATTTGCAAATTACAGCGTACCAAATGTTACCGCTTACAGTCTTGAATTCATCCTTTCAAGTTTTCTCACCTTATTCAAAATAACCTCTTAGCCACCCCAACTCCCCCTCAGCCCTTTCTCACTTTGGGTACAAAAACTGCAAGCTGGATCGCTCTGTAATCGAAACCTTACACCGCCTTCCAAAACTTATTACAGCTGCCTTCAGTATAAAACGAAACCTTAGAGAATGTTATTTAAAATGTTTTTAAAAAGTCAGTAGGCCTCATGTTTCGTTTCTCCACATCAGGCTTTGATTTCCTTTGCAACCTTATTCTCTGCCCTTAAACAAGTCGGAGAACGAGGCCTGAAACATCTTGGAAAAGGTCCCTGGATGCCAGCATCTGCCGAGCACGGCGCTCCCCTTTCTCAGATCCTTCAGTGATCACTCTTCCTTGTGTCCATCAGACCCTTAAGAACAGGAATCGTTAGTGAGGGGATGACAGCGATTGGACTCCCGTTCGAACTTCTGAAAAGCTGGGGTGAAAGCAGGGTGCGGATGGCAGCTAGGAGAACAGGCTGGGTGGCAGCCCCCAGGAAGCGGGCAGCCCCTCCGAGGCCCGGCCCAGCGGGCACTTGGGAAGCACCGCGGGGACAGGGCAGTGACGGTGGGCACGAAGACCCTCCAACAGCGAATGTGTGCTCCTCGGCCCTGGGCCACACCAAAGCCCTTGGGTCTGCAACTCTTTTGGGCAGCAAAAGCTGATACAAAGAAAAGAATTAGTCAGTGAATTATCTCTGGATGAGAGAATAAAACCCAGAGCTGTGGCCCATCTCTTGTTCTTCTGAGATGACAAAAGTCACATCCTCTCCGCCAGGAAGGATTTCGTTTTAGGCAAGGATCTCTTACAGCACGTTCAACTCTCAGATATTATAGCAAATAGATTTTTCTCTTTACTGGGGGAGTGAAATACATATACAGAAAAGCTGATGAGCACCTCACCTGTGTTTTTACTGAAATGTTTAAAAATACATATTCTGGGTTCAGC